CGCACAAGCTTTCTGTCTTACGTCGACCGAAGATTGGAAACAATCGTGTGGACCTTCCAAGTGTGCGCAGCAACATGTCGGGACAGAGTTCCACACTGTGAGCGGAGGTCTGTGGTAGCAGACGTCGATCAAACGCCATTGCAAAGGCGACTACTACATTCAACTCGAGGCCAAACCAAAAAACGATTTGGGTTACTTTCTCCATGAACCTGCATGGGACTCACTCCCAACTCCTTTGGGATTGGCTGGAACTTGATGCCCAGCTAACACAGGCGCTCGAGGCCAATGGACTATGCGCGACAGAAATTCTTGTTTTGTTTCGTTGCCACCAGGCACTGAAGCCAAGGACATCCTGGGGAAGACAATAATGGGCCAACGAGAGCAAACTGCCGACTGTGAGCACGGAAGAACTCGGTGGATCTTCAACAAACCTCGATCTTGCAACGCACAGCGATTGTCAAAAAGGGGCAATCTTCAGCGAACACATGGAGAGATGCTCCACCTGGCACTGTGATCCCCACCTGGGTCTTCATCCTCTGTGTGTCCAATGGAGGAAGCAGCGTCCGAGTGGCTTTCCACCGAGACAGGAGAGTTCGCGACCATCTCAGCATCCAACCTCTGTGTCGAGGGAGCGCCGTTCTAGGAGCCGTGTCAGCTTCACCAGACGCTGGCTACTTTCCGTTCTTCGCGGTTGCTTTCGTGGCAGGGATGAAAGACTTCTGTCACATGTTCGGGAGGGTGCCTGCTCAGTGGGGGGCTAGATACCATCTCAGATGGGCCATGCATGCTGTGGGCCATGCATGCTGTCATCTTTATCAGTGTCCTTGGAAGGACATGGGCGACGACTGGCGGGGGGGCAGGGGTCAGCTGGGAGGTGGGTGGGAGCCCACAAATCTTGGCTTTGCATGTTTTTGCCGAACCTCATTTTCTGCTGCTTTATGAATTGAAGCACTACAATGGTTAACACAGCTCCACTGCCTTTCAGACACTCACATTCACTTCAATGTGGAAACTTGGAGTTTCATTGAACCGGAACATACCTTGATTTATATAGCTTCAACTTGCGCACACGTGTTATCTATCCTCCTTGAACATAAATGCGAAGTGTTGTGGACAACACTTATGTGCAGTGGGCAGTGCCTTTAGGCCTCTGTCCAGCTTTTTGCAAAGCAAAGAGGGATCCCGTTGATCTTGACCTTGAATAGATTACCCCAGCGAAAAGTGCTAAGTGGCTTTTAACTGCCTCCTTCTGGCGACCATCTGAAAGTGCTGCCTAATTCATTGTTTCACCTGCACGTTATTGATAAAGAGCTTCTTTCTCAGCTGTTTTGATCTTTTCCCCCTCTTTTGTTCACCTTTTTCATCTGATCTTGCACTTGCCAGGCTCGGACCTTGGAACGCGCACGCAAGGACAAAACACATACTTGACGAGGGCGACCAAAAAAAGTCTCTGCTTCCCACCAAAGCCCTGCAAGCACCAATTCTTCAGCCTCTTCGCTAGTTCGATGATCTCAAGCCAGTGTTTGCATGAGTTTTTTTGCGGTTTCAGGATTCCGCGCACTTGAACTGTCGGATGAACTGCAAGAAAGTTGCCTCGGCTGCTTGTTGACCGACACTTCATTCCTTGACTGGGAAACTCTCAAAGTTCAAGACTTTGAAGGACCGTCAGCTGGCAGCATGCAGTGCATGTTCTTAGTGATCCACATGGCCAACTAGCTTCCAGGTTGGTTGTTCGCTGATGTTTCTTCAGTTTGGTGGTCCTCTAATCCTTTTTTGTTCTCTCCACCTCCGGGCTGCACTGCCAACAACAATCGAACTCAGTTGACGCAAAACATGCTGAAACTGTTAGAGTCCATGCTGGCATCTTGATCGCATTGTGAAACTTGAATGTCGAACGCATGAACGCTCGTCTCGCTCCGAGGCAGCGTGTAAACAGGTTTCATTGGCAAAAGCCACAGAGGGCACTTTGAATTCGCATGTTTGAATGAACATTCACACGTTTTTGGACACAACGATGAAGTTCAACAAGTGGCACGCTATAGAATTGTGTGGTCAAAAACTATGTCGAACATGGTACACTATCTAAGGTCGTTCAAGGTTTCTTGGAAGACGGACAATCTCAGACAAACACATTTACCCAACATTTTGGAGAGTTGAACGTTTACACTCACAGCAGCTCATGCACATGCTCAAAAATGTGAGTTTGCTGCTTGAAACATAGCTGATTTGCTTCTTGGCTGAAAGCAGTGCGGGCGGCTGTCTGACAAACTGATTGAATTTACACCTGCCTGATTGTTCGGGTTGGTTTTTGCGTGGACGTTTCTTTGTTTGTTTTGGTTCGTTTTCATGCCAGCCAGCAGTTTTGTTATTCTCCATTTTTGTGCGGAGAAGGTGTTTGGGTGTTTTGTTAAAACATACATTTCTGTCCATGGGTGCAATGGCATTTCCCTGCCAACAAACAAATTTGTTCATCGTTGAACGGGTCGTATTTCCGTTCTTTGAAATGCTTGAGAAAGATGGTGGAGAGTTGTCTGTGGTGGTTCGATGTTTTTTTGAGTGCGAAACGCAAACCAACAATTCTTTGATGAAGAGGAACGTGTTATCTAGCTGCTTCGTTTTGCTCTGTGAAGGGGTTCTTGTGAACCACCCAAGTGCGATTTTTGTAGCTGCGTTGCCAGTGCATGTCAACGGACCCTGTTGTGGTTGTTGCGCCCACTTTGCGCGTGTGATATGTTTCATTTATTTCGTTATTCAATTTGCAGGTTTTTGGTGCGCTCTGTGAAGGTTGAATGCATCGACTTGGGCTCCATATTTTTAGGGTTTGCTTTAGCATCTGTAAGAAGAGTTGTTTTGAAGGTGTTGTCATTGTTTGCAGATGAATGCTTGCAATTGTTGGTTTTGACCAATGACGATGTGTGATTCTGCGACGCATGAAGGTCTGGAATTGAACTGCAGAATGCGAAAACACAGGCTTCTGGCATCATCCACTATTACCAATAGTTGGACACACATCCACATCACCTGCCACTGGTTGAGGACCAACTTGTTTGGTTTGGCATCGATTGAGCTTGTAGCGCCATGGCCCCAAAGGTTCGTTGTGCTCAGTCCAAGGTGAGTCGGTGGGAAGGGTTTCATTCTGTAGATATTTTTTTGCTATATTATATAAATTGGGTCAAAACAAGACATCACAAAGGCGGATATTCAAATATTGTTTTGCGTGATTAACAATTGCACAGATACAAATCTTAAGGATGCTCGGATATCAAAACATGACGCACAGATTCCACAAGTTAAACACTTCAACAAAAGGTTGCGTCCTGCCGACCAACCTATTTACTGTAATTTGTAAATCGTCGGATCATCATGGCTCCTCGCTTCAGGAAGCGGCAGCGAAGATGGAGGCTGAACTTCTCCAGCAGCTCGAAGAAGGAGGTGTGCTGAAAAGTCAGACACGTTTGGGGGAAGGGATCCTGACCTTGCCTTCCAGGCACTGAGAGTTGCAACATGGGCCAAAGCATAGGGTAGGCTGGATGAGACCATTTCTTGTTGTGTACTTGACTGCGATCGGACCATCGTGTGGCAGGTTTGGAGTCCAAACGTGCAAAATGTGACCTCCAGCAGTCTTTTTCTTTTTTGTAAACGACACTTCAACATCTTCGCTGGTTTTGAGATGACCACCACGACATACAGGAATCGAATCATATCCCCCAATATACAGATACTACTTTATACAGATAGATAGATAGCTAGCTAGATAGATAGATAGATAGATAGAGCCTCTGTGTTCTTTTTTTCTCCATTCTCACCAGACTTGCCAAGTCTTCTGTTCCAGCAACAAGTGGGTTTGTCAAACCAGCTCGAAGATGACGATGACTCCAAAAGGTGCTTTCAATCCTGTGTTGCTAGTAGAAACAATGGGTAGAAGCTGGACGTGACTGACATGTTGAACACGGAATATGAGTAGCAGCTGCTTCGGAAACAGAATGTGCTCTGCCCCCCTCTAAGCAGGGCACGGATCAAGAGTGCTGAGAACCCAACCAAAGCTCCTCAAAGCAGCTGAAAAACAGGCTTTTCAGAAATCTCCCTTGATTCAGATTTTTTTGGGGACACCCTAGGTGTTGGTGTACACTTTTCTTGGATCACAATGAAAGACTGATCAGGTCGTGCTGTCCTTTTTCAATCGTCTCGAAATCGAAGAGGTGGAAAAGCTGAAGCTTAAATGGGCTAACTGGACTGAAGGATTCAGCTCCGTTCCCAAGGGGTGCCTTGAAGAGCCTTGAACCGCAACACTGCAAGAAGAAACCCAAGGCTGGTACAGCGTACAGAAATAAGATGAAATCACATATGACATACACTTGGGCCCGGTGGAGGCACCATGGAGGGGCTTCAAGCGGTCTTTTCTGCGCTGGCAGACGCTCGGTGTTTGCGGGTTGGTGTTGGATGAGGCGGACGAAGGAGAATGTGGTTGTTGGGGAAGGGTAGGGTTTCAATTGGTTTTTGGGTTCAAAAACAGAAGAGGGAATGACATGCCAGCTATACATGCCTTCGTTTGCACTTTTTGGAATGACACGAGGACGCCGAGATCGGGTGTAGGGCCGCAACTGAGCTTCAAAGCGAGACAGCCAGGTCGTGCCCTCAAATAAGAGGCGGTGTATTGGAAGAAGGCTGTTGTAGGTAGGCCCTGTTTTGATTTGACGATTTGTCAGCGTTTGCTGAAGACGATCGTTTTGACCCATTCTTTTCATGTTCATTTTGCGATGTGCATGTGCATCCCAATCAGTGTTGACCAAGAATCTTTGCTCCCAGCTCCGCAATGCTGGTACTTACGGGGGCATGCGGCATGGTCCTTTCATAAAAGGTAGATTCTAACTTCACGATTGCCTGACCCACCCACCAGGAGACTGATGGCACTGATGGCTCATTGGCTCCCTCGAACTGATTGCCCTTGCAGCACGGAACCCGAGGCCAGCGAGACCTTCGTGTCGCACTTCTATGGCCGTATGCCCTTCGTCCTGGACTGCGGAGATCTGGTGGCCCATCGCTGGACTTTGGAGGACGACCGACGGGCCTGCGAGACCAACGCGCGTTTGCGTCGTGATGGCGTAAATGGGCCTCAGGCGCCAACGTCGTCTGGAAAAAGGAGGTGCTTTAAAGGCAGGGAGTCGGTGAAAAAGAGTAGGGAAGGTGGGGGGTGTCTGGGGTAAGTGGGGGTTCAGCCGGAGTGGAACATTCTTTTGGTATGAGTGCCAGCAGCCATCTGCCAGAGGTCAAAGGATTCTTCTTTTGGAGCTCGGTCATGGAGCTCTTTGGTGTTTCGAGTGTTCAGTCTGCGACAAAGTTGGGACCGACCCATGATGATTCCAAGCAGAAGAAAGCGTGGCGAGCAGCGTATCGCTCGCTCGATCCGGTCAATCCATTGGCAGGATCAAGTGCTATTGCTCCGACATGAGAGCTATGAGGTCTACCAAAAGGATGCATTGCCGAAAAAGCCGATCCAACTGTTTCTTCGATCAAGAGGGCGTTTTGCATTTCAGTCGGGAAATGCTGTTTAAACGAGTTTGCTTGTATTATGGACCACACAATATTTGCACTCTGATGAGTCATCGGACCTGTTGTCTTCACACATGGTCGATTAGTTCAGAAACTTGGGTTGGACCTCAGAAAACCAGGCCATTGGCACCTCTTTCCACGGGCCGGGGGTGCCGTGATCTAACGTGCTATGCGGCGTTTTCCAGGGTGCCCCTGGTGCAATACACCTGCTGGGCACGACCGGTCCACCAAGCAAGCACTCAACTTGAAAATGCTGACTTTTCTGGTGATCTTAGGCCGGTTGGTTTGCATACTGGCCTACTGGTTCCAGCGCGCTCAAGAAAGCTGAGGACGGGTTACAGTCGCTTCACACATCCTGTGGGAAGCCCAGTGCGATCAGCTGGTCGCTGATGCTACTGGGCAAGCGGAAAGATGAGCGTGGCACCACCGATCATGTCAGTTTATGGCTGGAGGCCTGTCCTCACATTCTGGCAAGAGAAGAAATCTCAGATGAATTCCCTTGCTTGGCAAATGGATACTCAGCAAAGTCCACCAGCTTTGATTTGGGATTAAAGAAGAACCTCTTGTTTTTTTTTTTTTTTTTAACAAAAAGAACACATCGACCACCTGGCTCATTGACCACCTGAGGCCATTGGCCAGGCACAGGCGCACAGCTTCATGGTCGACACGACCGAGGTGGTCGACACGACCGAGGCCTCGGTGCGGCAAGGTGCGGACGTGGGATGGTTTTCGGTGGAGGGGTGGCAACTGCTGGGCCCTGTCGGTTGTTCAAGCTGTTTCTAAGAAAGAGGATTTTGCGTGGCAATCCGGTCTTGGAGCGGGTGCTGAACACACTCCTTTCCTGTGCACATGCCGCAGAACATGCGGTGCCAGGCTTGGAGATGGGCACTTGGGTGATCAGCAGTGGGAATTCCCTGTCACCGCAGCTGGCGCAGATTTGTCTTGCGCTGCAAAGCTCTTTCCAGGTGTGCCGCACCGTGGGTGGGCTTTCAGAGCACAAAAGGAAGTTCAGGGGGCTTTGCATATACCGGGGCCGGGCAGGGTGTGGCGTGCGAAAGGAGGAATGGGAGTAACCACCCAAAGACTGTTTCATGTTATATATATATGTATACATATGTAATGTAAAGAGGTGAATGACTCAATCCCTGCACTTTCTACCAGGCATAGCCTGCGGCATAGCTGGCCTACTTTGCCTTCACCTGTAGCTGCCGAGGTGCCATTTGTGACGACCAATGTCTACATCTCTCGCTTGGACTCACCCATCACGGCGCCTTTGCACACAGATCGCTTTGACTCCTTCATCATGCAGACGGAGGCCAAACAACTTCGGTGGATGTGTTCATGTGTTTCGTTGTCAGGCAAAAGACTACAGAGTTGTTATAGACTATAGACCTTATAGTTCTACAACCTTCAGAGGTTGTAGCCATCAACAAGCAGAGAAAGGAATTCGTGACTTGAGTAATGAGTCGTATTTATTCCTGACGTACCACCGAACAGGACCCAAAGAAATCACCCACAACCAGGTTTTTGCTTCCAAAAATTCCCTCATCCACAAGACCTGTTCCCCAAATCCTTCGATGTCGGCGCCCAATCACATCCGCAGGGGTTAGCTGGGTAGCTGCCGTCCGAAGGTTGACCTCACAAACCTGGTGACCAAGTCTGGGAAGGTCTCCTCCTCCTCCTCCTCCTCAGCTCCACTCGGATGACTCCGGACGACTCCGGCAGGGCGCCAAGCGTTGGAGGATCTTCGGCCCCGGCGCGGCCACGCCGCGCTGGCCCGTGCTGGATGCTGGGATGAGCGACAGGCGACGCTGGGATGAGCGACCGGGTGGGCCGGGGTGGAGGTTAGCCGCATGTAGCACAGTCCTTTTTGGAGGGAAGAGAGCCACCAATGAGCTGAGAGTGGGCAAGGTCGACTCCTTGCGTGTTTGCCTTTTTGTGTTGTTTTTTGCCCAAGGAGTTGGAAGCAACCAGTTGTCAATTTGACCAAAACGACCGAACACAAGTTGTTTGTCAAAGCTGACAGGGGCAAAGCGGGGGACGTGCTCTATTTGGAACAGGCGTGGGGGGAAAGAGTGGCGTGTTTCCTTGGAACATATATAATACTATAAGGTTTGCACGTCGTGGTTTGGGAGGCCATTCGGCATAAACGTTTACTGTAGTTGAAAGTTCAAAGGAAGCCGCTAAGCTGCAGCTTTGATCCAGGAGTTTGACAAGGGTGGTACTCAGAGCATCTTCAGGATGCCCCCAGCTAAAACTTCACCGTGGCGGAATTTGCTCTGTAGGCCGCCAGGTTGCCCGTGGAAGTGAGTGGTGGAGTGGATCCTTAGAAAGGTATAAACTACAATTATTGCATAGAACTAGAACAGGCAAAGATTCTCAAAGACACGAGATGTCGGTTGGAGGCCATCGCCACTAGGTTGGAGGCCATCGCTCTTAGGGTGCAGGTCATCGCTCCTCAAAGAATTCACAAAGACAGGAGATGCCCCCGAAGATGCGGAGCACTAAGCGCTCCTCCCCTTGGGCCCTCCTTTTTGGTTCTATCGAATCGACCCGAGCGGCTGGGCCTTGGGTGTGAATGGGCGGATACCCAGGCCCAGCGCGTGTATCGCCCAAAAGCAGCACGTGTGTCGCCCGAAAGTGCCGGGATCAGGGATCAGGTCACCGCCAAGTAGGCTGACCTATGCAGGTTGTGATCGGAAACAGTTGCAGCTTAGAGGCCTAGAGGCAGAGGCTTGTCTCGACCCGTCAGGTCGGCCCCTTGCTACTGGATGAATGTCTCAAATCTGGCGAAGTCGTGTACCTGCCAAGGGGCTTCCCACACGCCTTTTGGGCTGAAGCAGTGTCGTGCGTCCGAAGCGCTTAAGCCGTCAAGCCGCGGCTTTCGAAACCTGTCGGTGTCTCTGTTTGTTCATGCTTGTGGTCCCACATGGTGCTTCTATGGCAGTGGGTGGATATCAGGGTTGAACATTTGATTGACAGAGCGAGCTCGGAACAGGCTCGGTGCCTTGCACCGGGGCTGGCTCGTGTGATGAGGCAACCAGCACCTTCCAGACCAGTTCGGTGTCTGGGAAAACGGGCTACTCCACGAGCTTGACGGTGACCTGGTGGAATGGGGTGGTTACGGTGGAAAGTGGTAGTAGGACACCTTTTTGGGTGGAAAAGTGTCGAGATTCTACTCGGGCGTCGAAAGAAACCAGCGAGAGGAATGAAAAAAGAGTGCGAGAGGTGGGTTGATTCTCCATCGTCTTTCATTTTTACCATCCGCTTTGGCCTTCGACTCTCGTTGGGAGTCCACCTGAATACACCTCGTCGAAGCACGGAGTCGCTCGTCGGCGAGGTGAGTTTGCTGCTGGAGTCGGTGGGCCTCACCGTGGACAAGGTCCTCCGCTGCGCTGCCGGGATCCACGAGGCCGTGTGTGTGATGTGTGTCACAGGTGTGGCATGTTCCGTGAGCTTCCATGGAAAACTGGTGCGGGACAAAGGGGACCAGAGGGATTGGGATGAAGATGATGAAGGGATGGCTTTGCAATGAGAAATGAGTGCAACTCCTTGAGGAGAGAGTGCCTTCCCACGGAGTGTTTCTCTGATGACATTCAAGAATTGCCATAATGAAACGGTTGTTGGAATAGCCATAATGGGTTTCAATCCATAGGTGGTTCCAACACATATATTGTTCCAACACGCTGGCATACCCCCGGTCACATGCCCAGATTCGCGGCGGACATATCTTTGGTTCCTTCGCTTCCTCCAAACCTGGAAGGAACGGTTAGGCTCGTTAGTTCGGTTTCGGGAATTGGTTCAACGAGCCTAGCCTACCGCATGCCGCATAGCTTTCTTCATCTCCAGGGCCGGAACGCGCTGGGGCAATGCTTTGGTGCGGAAGAGATTCTGGTGGCCACGCCACAACACGAGTGGCTCGGTGTGTGGTGCTTTTCTTGTTGGAAGGCTGTTAGTTGGCTTTATCTGGTTTTGGCCCATCACCGTAGTATGGGTGCGACTCCAAAGATGGAAAAATGACAGACTGCGAACACGATGTGGAAAACACCCGGGAATAGATGGGAAGAGCATGCCTTTTATGGACTTCTACTCCACAACAATATCCAGTTGAATTCTCCCGCCCCCCAAACAGCTTTGTGTGACTCTGGGCTGAAAAGAGACGGGACAATGTTGACCTGGCCTGAGGTCACTGCGCGCTACGCTGCCCATTGGCCCTTTGTCTGATGCGCTGGAATTGTTGGGAATCATCTCGTCCCAGATGTGTCTAAGATTCCAGTTGACATGATCTCATTACAATAAATCCAAACTTTAAGTGACAGCATTATCCACAAAATATCTAGCGTTTTGCTGCTTATGTTTGGCGCCTCACACCAAGCGCAAAAAACGCCAGGCTTTCTAGCGCCCTTAGTGGCACCGGAGCTCCGTAGATCTGCCAAGACGCATGAGGAGCAGGAGGAGATCTGGGTGGAGGCTGGGTAGGGCTCTGTCCATTTGGGTAGGGATTGAGAGAGTGGCCAGCCTGGCCAGTGGCGGTTTGGACTGTGGACTCCGAACCTGGACTCCGAGCTGAATCGCCGGTTTTGGCCCATGAATGGCATCTTCAAGTGCTGTTATGCTCTTCTTCTGGAGTGGTCAGGGCATGGTGAAAGAGATGAATCGCTTGGCAAGGAGTTGCCAACTGGAGACTTGACTGAAAAGAACGCCGGACCGATGAGACGCCTACCCGATGAGACGCCTACAAGGGGAGCTCCCTTAAAGATAGCTCGCTGTCCACCCGCCATGAAAAAGCCGGTGACGGGTGGTCGGGTGGGCATTAGATAGGTGCGGATAGAGATGTTTGGGGCACTCACGTCTTTATGTGCATTTGGACTTGGTTCGTGTGAGTTCGGAGTTGGGAAGATTTGTTTTTGGTGCTCACAACTGTTGCCACTCATTCACCACGGCACGTGTGCCACATGGTCGACTTCGCAGCCCGTTCGCGTCCCTCAGACCGACCTTCGAACGGAGGGCGTCCCGCTTTCGAACACATGGGTCGTTGGAGGGACCGTCGTCACCCCGGACGCCAAGGAGCATGGATGGTGTTGGTGCAATTTCATTTAAAGAAAACAGACATGGACAAAGAGTACACACTTTTTCATAGTCAAAGACACAGAACACTTTGAACAACTTCTTTTTGTCCTTTTCTTTATGTTGCTTCGTGCTCCAGGCCCGCTGGCTAGCGGAGCGGGACATGCTTGAGAAAGTGCTACGCAGGCAGGTCTGGGCAGGGTGCTTAAGGGGACAATCTTGACGATGGGGGTGGAGGTCGAACTACACTGAGTAGATCTGGGGCGCCGTTCGAGGGAACACGCCACAAGAACTGCAGGGGCGCTGCCCAGTCTTCCAAATTCTCAAGCAGCATTCAGGCCAAAAGGAGAGAAGTGATGGCGACACTTGGATTCTGCTGATGCAGATGGGTGTGGGTTTATTCAAGCTTTGTGGGCCTCCACAATGTACCATACCTGAACATCCCTTGCAATTCATGGTCGCCCTTGCTTCTTTGCTTCATCGCCTTTCCAAGTTTCTTACATGATTGTTCGTTCAGCGCATGCGCGTTTCACATCATGTAGACGGTTGATGGTTTTTGCACCCCGCGTTTGGATCAACGGTCTAAATTACAAGTGAAACCCACCCGAAAGCCTGGTGAAGTCATTGTCTCCTTTCTTGGGGCGCGGCGAGGGTGCTGAGCTACCTCTGGCATGCCCTTCCGCAAGCGACGGAGTGGTGCCGAGAGCGGGTTTACTCCACAGGCCTCGCTGGTGGGATGGCTGGACAAAAAGTAAGGTAAGCAAGCGAGCAGATTAAGGCAAAAGAAACACTTGATGCTTTGTCATTCTTTTTCCTTGCCTGGGTGGTTTGGTGGCCTCCCATCCGCCCCGCAGGGCACGACGATCGTCCGGCACGGTCCGTTTGGGCGGTCGTGGTTCCGATCCCAAAGACCCTCGGTCTTGGCACGTTCGCTGTGCCTAAAGACCTAGGATTCTTTCTTGGTCCCAGTGAACGGCAATGGCTAGAACTGTACACGAGAATTGTACTTCTACCATTTCTTTCCTCGGGTTTGTTGTATAAACATCCTAACCTCTTGAAGGACCGTCGTTTCCATGTTGCAACATGTCGAGCTTCCATTCAGGTGCTGGGATTCCTTTTTTCGGCGCTCCCCCTCCGCAGGCGCGGTGCTGAAGCAGATCGAGCCCGACCAGCGTCACGAGGTGCCGAAGCATCGGGGTTCGAGAGGCTGCAGCTCTTGGGACGGTTTCTGTGCTGCATGATTTCTTCCATCTAGGTTGGAGGCCACCGCTCTTAGGTTGGAGGCCATCGCTAGTAGGT